GAGAGATGAGAAGCCTTCTTTTTGGGGGTGAGGGAAATATAAGGAGAGAAAGGGAAGAAAAGGAAAAAATAGGCCAGGGAACATCAAGCATTTGCTGGTTGCAGCAGATGATCAAGCCTTGGCTGACAAAAAGTGTGTCCTAATAGGAGCATGGGCAGGAAGAAGACTGACTTTTGGGGGCTTACCACTCCCACTTGGAAACATAAAAGGAAGTCCCTCCCCCCACTTCACCTATTAGGAGCAAATAGGAGGAGCAACCCATTCCAGAAGATGTTCCAGCCTTTTCTGCTGGGAAAGTGTTTCCCACATTCTGTTGATACAATACTTCAGAAGCTATTGACTTACAAGAATAACTGCTTGCATGGAAGTTACTACATTGATGGGCCAAATACTACTTATATGTGGAGTTGCTAATGTCCCCTCTAGTTTCCATGCCCAAAACAGTGTCTTTCCCCCACAACTTAAACTCTGCTTGGAAAGTAAAAGCATCAATAGTCTTCTTTGTTTGACACAACAGAGTAGCATAGCAGGCAGAAGACTTCACCTTCTGTTAGGCTTGAGTCAGATGCAGAGAAATCTTAAATGTTCTGTCAGATGTTGCTGAGGAAGCTTATGACAGACTCTTACGGAGTTTTATGGTACCTGTTTCCTGGAAAAATTCAATGTTGGTCTGTAGAATCAGCATGTAAAGATCTTGTAGTGCCTTTGAGACTAACTGAAATAAACAAGCTGGCAGCATGAGCTGTTCTAGACTACAGTCAGATACATCTGAGGAAGTAGACTGTAGTCTAGGAAAACTCATGCTGCCAATTTCAGTTAGTCTCAAAGGTGCTACAAGATCTCTCTACATATTGTCCCCTGCAAAGTATGTTTAAGATTGCCACTTAACGTTACAAGCAGGGTTGTGCCCCTTATTAAGAACCACTTGTCTATTACAGAAAACAAAAACCAGATTGGGCTGCCCACATGACAAGTCCTTTAAAATATTTTAGTCTCTCCAGTAAAAACTCAAACCCAGTAAATAGGCAGTGAATAAGATTATACTGAAGTGTCAAAAGAAAACATTTTATGACAAAATGTGTCAATTCCTCAAGATTCTAGTGCTTTAGTTAAAATAGTTACCAACTGGTTTTGCCATACCTTTTAAAGTCTTATAGCACTTATGGAAAATTATCTTTAATCCCAATTCTCTGTGAGTTATTTTAAAAAGCTTCTACTTTCATACCATTTAGCATTGCTCACGCCTTGCAGGATCCTCTGTTACCATCACAGTCTGAAGCCTCTTATTTAATCTCCGTGTGAAGTAACATTCACTGCTTATTTTGGGATATAGTGTTTATTTGTTCTGTTTATTTGTTCCAGCCTGAACTCAGGCAACACCGTTGTAACGATGCAAGGCTGTATTCAGGAAAAGGGATAGTATTTTCGCTCCTTTCACAGAGGCAGAAGTCCAAAACAAATTGCAGAAATAACCCAGTTTGAGACCGCTTTAACTGTCCTGGCTGAGGGCTGAGTGGGAATCCTGGGAACTGTAGTTTATTGTGGCACCAGAGCTATCTCTGACAGGGAAGGCTCAATGTCTCACAAAAGTACAGTTCCCTGAATTCCCTAGCATTGAACAAGGGCAGTTAAAGCGGTCTCAAACTGGGTTATTTCTGCAGTGTGTCTATCTCACCTCACACAAGAGGAAAACCTCCGCCTCCCTTCTCTTCTCTTCTAGCTACACCGCCTCCTCAGGAAAAGGAGAGGGAGGGCCTTAACCGCTTGGGCGCGCGCTGCTCTGAGGCTCGCGGGCAGAGGGGCGGGCGCTGCAACTACGTCACTGGCCACGTGAGGCGAGGAGCACAGCGCTCGGGTTCCACGCGCGGCCAGCACCGTCGTCTTCCTTTCTGTCTTTCTTTCCCGTCAGGCCCGCCGTGTGACCTGGTGACCCGGAAGTTTTCACCACCAGCAGGGTCACTACAGCGGCCGC